ATTTTAAAACCATATGAAGACATAGGACTGCCTAATTTAAATACTTCAGGGGAGAATCTACTCTGGGCACTTGCTTTGCCTGAATCCCTCCTAAGCCAAGCCTGATGACCATGCCTAACAGACTGACAGTCATTGGCTTGTTCACTATATCTCTTTCTTGGGGAAAGTGCAAATACAGAGAAAAAAACCAGAAAATAGAAGCCATGATTAAGCAAAAATCAAGAAAAAGGCTGAAATCATGAGTGGGTGCAAGCTCAGAACATAGAGAAGAAGTGGAACAGCAGAGTGAGAGAAGCCAGCGGTGGCAGTAGGCGTGTGGGCCCAGAACCAGCACGGTGGAACATAGAGCTAGCAGCGAGGCTACCTCGGCTGTTAGGGGAGCTCATTGGGCACTCTGATGGTCAGTCACTGTTTCTGGGTGACTTCTAGTCGTAAGCCACACTCTAGCCACTTGGGAGATCTGCCCAGTTCCACGGTTCAGTGGACCAAGTATGTCTCAGTAAGAAGGTGAAAGCCCAGGCTGCCATCCCTCCCCTCCGCCAGCTCCTCTGCATCACCTCATTTGTTCAGCTGACACTGGAATTTAAGCAGCTTCTCCCTATAGTTCTGCAACAGATGAATATGTTCTGAGTCAGGATTTCTTCTGGAAATCTGTTTCCATGAACATGCACAAACAAGAAGAAAAACAAAACTCCAGGAGTGCCTGTGGCCTTCTTCCCCGGCAACTCAGAGTAGCCTCAATGTGCCACCTGGTAAGCTTCAGTTTCTTTGATCTCAACCCACACAGAAAAGAGAGACAAAAATAGAACCAATACAGCGCACAGTCTGGGACTCTTCTGCTTTTGCATATATAAGCAGATTCCTTCCCACTGCAGGATGAAAAACAGAGACAAGCATCTGTAATATGCAACACACAGAGCCAGGACAGCTAGACCCCTCTGAGATTCATGATGCTAGGTCTTGGTTCTCCCACTCCTCCAGAGACCAGGTCCTGTGGTGTGGCACTGACACAGCATCTCTGGAATCAGGGAGAGAGAAGAAGTTTCCTACAGAGAAAAGGCTAACCAGACACTGCAAGGAAAATGCAACGACTTGGACAAGGCTGGTCCTGGAGATCAAGAGCAGGTGGGACTCAGGGCCACCGAGAAACCTGCCCCTAAACAAGCTCCCCAAAAATCTCGAACTGATGCTGTGGAGCAGTGGGTTAAGCTACAATCGAAAGCACCAGCATCCTAGACAGGCACTGGTTCAAGTCCTAACTACTCTGCTTCCGATCTAATTCCCTGCTAATATGCCTATGGAAGTGGTGGAAGATGGGCCAGGTCCTTGGGTCCCTGCCACCCACTGGGGAGATTTGGATGAAGCACCTGGGCTTCTGGTTTCAGCTAGGTCCAGCCCTGACCACTGCACCATTTGAGGAGTGAACCACCAGATAGAAGCTCTCTCTCTTTCTGTTCATCCTTCCTTAACTTTGCCTTTTAAATGAATTCTTTTTGGTTAAAGACCCTCAGGGCTGTAGGGCAACCACTCTGCAGAACCTAAACTTTCATCCATGCAAGGAGGTGCCATAAAGGCCAGAGAGGATGAGCAGCCACAAGTAAGCTTATAAGCAGCTGAGCAGTGCACAAGCTGAGACGGAGCAAGAACAGCTTTACTCACGGCTAGGCAGAGAGGCCAGGCTGCAGAAAGCCCAGCTATTGAAAGACTCAAAACTCCTTCCCATTTTCCCTTGTCACAAAGGGTCATCAATGAGACTCATGTAATCCTTTCTTGCAGATTAAAAAATAAAAGGCCATGGCCTGTGTTTGAGGCAAGGAGCGGAGGGAGGGCAGTCATGTTTTAGGACCCCACTGAGCAGCAGTGGGGAGGCCAGCTGCATCAGCTTCTATCAGCTGGTCCTGCTCCTGCGCCAGACAACCACTGCCCACCCCACCATGGGTGCAAAGGCCCCTAAACACAAGCACTTGCAGAAGCAGCACTATACAGAGATCCTAATCATCCCCCAGATTTCCTCATCTGCACATTCAAAACACAGAGACATCCCTAAGGAACATTCTGGCCCAAGTACAACATGTACTGCAGGGACTCTTACGGACTCACTGGTCAGTCTCTGTACTGAAGCCCTACCCCTCAACAGTGTGGAGAGCGGGGGCTGAGGAGGCCACCAGGTTTAGAGGTTACGCAAGAGGGACAGGACTGCTAACCTTGAAAAGCTTCCTGTCCTTATAAGTAGAGACCAAAGTCTGTCTTCTCTCCCACCTGGGGTCACAGCAGAAAGGCAACTGTCTGCAGACTAAGAAGAGAGCCCTCAGGGAACCAAATCTGCCAGCGCCTTGCCCATGGACTTCCTGCCTTCCAAAACTGTGGGAAATTAATGTCCGGAAAGTCACCCAGTCTGTGGTCTTCTGTATCTACAGCCCAAGCCGAGACATGGCAATGTGTCACCCAGTTGCAGGTGAGCTCTGCACCTGGGACCTCAGAAGGCAAATCCTTTCATGGCACATCACCTGTGAGGCACCAGGTACTGTGTAGGAGGCACAAAGAGCAGAAGATAACAGTCACACCTGCAGGAGCTGAGTGTGCTGGAGGGAAGGGACAGGCAGCGGGTGTCAGCCAACACGGGACAAAGTGGCAGACCTTGCTTATGGCATCTACACATGAGTGTGACAATGTTAAGAGAGGAAGAGGCTAATGGGGTTTTGGGCAGAGGAGGGCCCTACCATGGCTGCACTTGGAAAGTCCAGAGCGTCTACAGTGAAGTGTTGTGGAAGCATAGGCAGGGCTGAGGGGATGTGGGGAAGAGCTGCTGGCTGACAGCTTGGCCCAGCCAGTCCAGAGCAGCCAACCTGCTGGACATTGACTGCAGGCCATGCCTTGGGCTGTCCGGATTATCTCACCCCACAACACCCCTAACCAGGGACTTGCTACTGTCCACAACAGAGAACAGACACATAAACGGGGTAATTTGTCAGGATCACTCAGAAGTAAAGTGGCACAGTAGGGCAGGGATTGAGTCCAGGTTGCCTGGCCCCAGAGCAGTGCTATAACCACCTGCAAGGGGTTACTGTTGGCAGTCAGCTGGTAAAGGGCTGCTGGGCACCAGGATTCTTATCTGGAACACAACATTCTGCTTCTCAAAAATAATCTTAATCTGAAAGACAGAGTCTTTCTCTCCCCCCCCCCCCCCCCCACATACAGAGTGAGAAACATGTTTTATCCGTGGGTTTACTTCCTAAACAGCCTCGACACCTGGAGCTGGGCCAGGCCCAAGTCAGGAGCCTAGAATTCTATCCTAGTTTCCCATGTGGGTGGCAGGGACCCTAGAACTTGGACCATCCTTGGCTGCTTTTCCCAGGTACATTAGCAGGGAATTGGATTGGAAGTGGAGCAGCCAAGACTCTGACAATCACTCCCATAAAGGATGCCTGTACCACATGTGGTTTAATCCACTGCATCACAATGCCAGCTCCTGCTCCTCAATTCTTAACAATATACTTAGCCTGCAATTTTATTCATTACTATCTCAGAACCAAAATGAAGAGGAACTATATATCATTAGTGCTGTACCCTCCAGCTAAGAATCTCTTTCCTGCATATGTCAGCAAAGCAGAGCAGCTGGCAAGTGCCCACAGGAAGACTGGGTAGGGGTGGGAGATCCCTGGAGACAGGGCTGCCGTGCTGTATTAGGAGTGATTCCTGGTCCCAGAAGGATCAGGACAGCTTCATTCTTCCCTAAACCCAGTGAGAACTGTCAGGGGGCTGCCTGAGAGTTCTGAAGGGAGTCTCAGCAATTGAGAGATGCAGCAATTAGGCCTGACCCTGCCTAGGAATCTAGGCATGGGGGCCATGGGCTGCCTCTGGCCCTGGAAATTCCAGAGCCATAGGGCTGGCCAGTGCTTTGTGGGTAGGGTAGGACTCACTCACAGGAGAAAGCCTGAGGGCCACACGTGAGAGACAGCTTGGCCCTGGCCCGGTCAGCAAGACCTGCCTAGGGAGTCGGGGATGAGAAGCAGCCTCAGACAACAGACCTTGGGGCACTCTGGCAGAGAAAGATACCCTCCCATCAGAGCAGGATGCCAGGCAGCCACAAGAAGTGAGGTGTTCCCCCCAGCTCTGGGAACTCAGCAAGGAAGTCTCACAAAGACCAAGACATGAGCCTCTTCCCCAGAGTGCACAGCCCTACCCCCACTTAAGTTCTGGCAGGAAGTGGGGAGCAGCACTTGGTAGGATGGGGGTGAGAGGGGCCTCAGAAGGTCACAGGGGCTGAGGCCCACACCTCATCCCTTCTCAGGGCCCCGGCAGGAAGAGTGAGTGAGGTTTCACTGCAGAATCACTTTGGAGCTTTGATCTTTACTCAGCGCTGTGTGATCACAGGGCCTACCCATGGGCTAGCAAATACTGGGCAGGATTCCATCTCAGGGAGAACCACAGAAAAGAAACAATGGCTGGACTCGTGACCCAGAGGGACTTGGATTCCCCCCAAAACTCCTCTGGATAAAAATATGCACAGGGCCTGCATTGTGGTAGAGCACATTAAGCCAATGCCTGTGATACCAGCATCCCATATGGACCGGAGGTCTGAATCCCAGCTACTCCACTTCTGATGTGGCTCCCTGGTAATGCGCCTGAAGAAAGTGGCAAGAGACAGCCCAAATGCATGGGTCCGTGCACCCATGTGGCAGACCTGGAAGAAGTGCTTAGAGACTTCTGGCTCCTGGCTTTGGCCTGGCCCAGCCCCAGCCTTTGTGGCTATTGAAAGTAAATCAGAGGATCAAAGATCTTTCTTTCTGTATGTCTCTCCCTTTCTCTGTGTAACTCTGCCTTTCAAATTAAAAAAAAAAATCTTAAAAGAAAAGAAGAACAAGAAAGAGGAGGAGGAAGAGGAAAAGAAAGGATATACACAGAGGGAAAAATGGAGATCTTTCCAATTCATGCCATGTTTGTTGAACAAGCTATCAGAGTGCTCATGCGGTCAGTTGGCTACCTGTCACTGACCAAGAGCCCAGTGCTTTCTAGCTCTGCAGATGCATCTTCAGCAATTCAGAAGTGTCTCCTGCTTCTGGGTACCAGGTATCCAGATAACTGCATCTACTCACCACCTCTAATCTGCCTTCCTGGGACAACAGGGTCCCAGCAGGACTGTGACAGGAAGCAGGTGGAGGGGCTCACACAGATTTTTCCAGTTACTGAAAGCTGCTCAGAGCGACTCCTCATCATGTACACAAAGCCAAGACAAAAGGCATTGTGAGGACCAATTCCCTGGCTTGCCTATTCAGCTCAGCCCTCCAAACATGCCTGATAGAACACTGCTGGACATTTTATGTACCTACTGTCAAGAACTGCATGTACTGTGACATTGTATGTACCTACTGTGCTAGGAACTAACTGAGCAAAAGAGGGTACTCCTAGAAGATTTGTCAGGCCAGACAACCACCTGGGTCTGGCTACCCATCCTGCTCAGTGGATCAGGTGCTGGGCCAGGGCTAGCAGGGGAAGTGGTATGAACCTTAAACTCATACCAAGAATAGGAAAAGATGTCTTTCCTTCTTTTAAAAGCCGAGTCCTCCACTGTCCTTCACTAGCAACTCCCTTACCTGCCTGTGTTGCTAACAAATCACCCTGCCTGTCACCCCTACCTCAGAACAAAGCCATGAGCACAACTGTTGGGAAAAAGCGAAAAAGGAACTGCAGCCCTATTTTCCCCTTGGAATGAGGTAATCATACATAGATTCCCATCTTCATGGCAAAAATAAATGGTTATTTTCTTCGCTGATACCCAGAATAGACGTGCCTGCTATTTCTAACACAGTGCCACTTGGTAATCAGACCTCAGAAACCACAGGTAACTCTGCCACCTTTTATGCTATAAGAATGGTTAATACAGTGCTCGAGTGAGTTCTGATTTGGAAGTGGTTTGGCAGCTGCAGGTTCTTGTGTGGGAGGCTTGGTCCTCCTGTGGCAATGCTGGGAGGTGGCCAGTCCCTGCAGAGATGGGACAAACTGGGAGAACCTTAGGTCTTTGGTATGATGGTCTACCAGAGAGTTCTAGGGAAAGTTGGTTCTTACAAAAGCCCAAGCACATCTTTCTTGTGTAAGTATCCAGCCTTAGGTATTTCACTGTAGCATTAGAGAATCCCTGCTAGAGATCTGAACCAATGATTTCCACAACTCAACAATCAATGACACAAAACGGCCAGAGTTTAGAACAATGCTTTCCTCATTCATTTGCTCAATCATTCTTACCATTCTTTTATAACCATTATTTCTTTTTGCCTCACATTTTTTCCATTTTATTTGACAAGCAGAGACAGAAAGACAGTCCTTCCACTGGTTCACTCCCCAATTTCCCAAAACAGCTAGGTCTGGGTCAAGTCAAACCTGGCACAGGTCCTTACTGAAGATCTCATGTATGAGTGGCAGGGATGGCCAGGTGCCTAAGCCAGAACCAGCTGCCTCCTTAGGTGTGCATCAGCAACAAACTGGAATTGGGGGTAGAGCTTGGACTCAAACTCAGGCACTCTGATATGAGACATGGGTGTTCCAAGTGATGTCTCAGCTACTACACCAAAGGCATCCTGCATATGCACTACTTTTTGAACACTACTATGTACCGTTGAACAGCCTAGGAACTGGAGTGCAGCAGTGAACAAAACACAAGTTCACTTTCTAGGCGGCAGATCAAGTCAAGTAAACTTCTTAGGGCATAAATTATATGTCTTATGAAGAAGAAATACAATAGCCACGCTGCATAGAAGATAGGATGGGGTTGGTTCCATGGCTCAACAGACTAATGCTTCACCTTCAAGCACCAGCACCCATATGGGTGCTGGTCTGTATTCTGGCTGTTCCACTTCCCAGCCAGCTCCATATTTATGGCCTGGAAATGACTATAGGGTGGCCCAAGACTTTGGGCTCTGTACTTGCATGAGAGACCCAGAAGAGGCTCCTGGCTTCAGATCTGCTCAGCTCCAGCCATTATGTCCATTTAGAAAGTGAACCAGCAAATGGAAGATCTTTTTGTCAATCTGCCTTTCAAATAAAAATAAAATCAATCTTTAAAGCGAATAAAGGACAAGGTGATGTTTGAGTAGGGACCAAAAAAGAAAGGAAAGGAAACTCCCCATGTGGATCCCTGGGAGAGAACATACCATGCAGGGGAAGGACAGACCCAAAGATCCTGGAGTGGTTGCTTATGCCTTGTATTTCATTGGAATATTAAAACAAGGCTGAAGTACAACGATAGGGCACAGTGAGGAAGACAAGCTCACAGAGGCATCGGGCCCCTTACAGTTTTGAGTGAGCCAGCAGGCTTAGTTAAGGGTTTGGAGCCAGGAAGTCTTAAGATTTTGCATTTAAGAAAAAAAAAATCATTCTAAGGGCCAGATCTGTGATACAGAGGTTAAGCTGCCACATATGATGCCAACATTCCATATCAGATTACCTGGTTTGAGACCTGTCTACTTGTCTTCTGATCCAGCTTTTTGCTAACACATTGGACAGCATTGGGCTTGAATTCCTATCACTTATGTGGGAGACCTACTTGGACCTCACTTTGGCCATTTGGGAAGTGAATCAGCAAATGGAAGATCTCTCTGTGTTTCGTCTTTCTGCCTCTCTCCTTGATTTTTAAAAATCACAGTAGCAGCTGCAGAGAGAGATCTTGAGTGTAGGGGTTGAGACACAAGAACCAGAACATAATTGGGAGGCTTATGTATGGATGTGGCCAGGATGTAGCAGCCACTTAGATTAGAGCATATGATTTCAGGTGGTGAGAAGAAACCAGACTCTTCATGTAGTCTTACGCAGCGCCTGGGGTATGAGAAGAAAGGAAAGAGTGTGAAGGGAATACCATAGCAAAAGGCAGATGGAGTTACCATTCACTGCAGTTAGGGCAAAAAAGCAGGTTCCAAGAGGATCCTGATCAGGAGTGTCTTCTCAGAGGTGTTAAGTTTCAGAATCTAAGTGGAATTGGACAGGCTGTTGGCCTTCGGATAAGGTCAGGACCAGAGACATCAGGTTAGAGGTCATCAGCAATTGATAGCCTATAGCTTTCAAGTCTGGATGAGACCTCTTACAGCTGAACGAAGAACAGAGATGTCCCAGGATGAGCCTGGGGCACTCCAACACTTAGGGGTCAGGGAACAGAGGCGGAACCACCAAGAGCATGCAGGGGTCCTGCCAATTTTGGAGGATATCTTGGAAGCTAAGTGAGGAACGTGTTTCAACAGATAGGGGTGAAGGACCACCCTGAGCTCTTGCTTTAATTAGGATGGTGCCTGAGTGCCCGGCTGAGAATGTGACGTGCTCCGGGACCCAGCACGAGTTCAATAAACAAGCATGTGCAGTTCAGGTCAGGCCGGATAGTCAGAGGACAAATGAAGGATATAACCTACCTAAAAAGCCAAGATGCAGAAAAAAATACTCTGACTCGATGTCAAGCAGATGGATTAGAAGCTGCCTGGTTGATGACACTGAAGGGCACAAATAAATGAATGACTGTCAATATCCAAGGAAATTTCTAGGGACACATCATTGGGCTCTGTTCTTGGCCTGCTCAATATGTCAGTGGCTTTTATCAGTCATAACTGAACTTGACTGTGATCAGAACAATGAAAGAGTCTTGTTGAAATAGAGCATCCCAGCATCTACTCCAGACCTACTGAATCAGAACTTCCCTAGGTGACACAGGGTGAAAAATAGCTAAGGAAAGACCTGATTTAGAGGGAAGGATCAACGGAGGAGATAGTTTAAATGTGCAGTTTAGATGCCACGTCAAGGTGCCTGAGTTTGTTTTGCCTCTGACTCCAGTTCCCCACCAATGCAAACCTTAGGAGGGGGCAGATCAGTGTCTGTAACTGGGTTCCTGCTGTGCATGTGAAAGACCTGGATGGCATACATTCTTTGCTCTTGGCCATGGCCCTGGCTCAGTCCTTGCCACTGGCAGGCATTTGGTGATTTAAACCAGAGGAATGAATAGGCTTTCTGTCTTCATACATTTTTAGAATACTACAGCTGACATGAGGCTGAGTGGATTGGGCAGCTTCTTTGTGGATGGCTCAGCTCTACAGGAATATGTGCAAGTGGTGAGGTGTGCAATCTCGTGTCAGATTCTGAAAAGCAGTCGACTATGAGGGGATGGGATGAACCAGCTGGATCTAGAACTAGAGGTCAACAGGGGATGTGCAACCAACTGACCCCAGAGAAGGGGAAAAGAGACACAATGCAGCCATGTGTCCCCCTGACACCCTCTCAAGGATACAGAGGGAGGTCAGAGGAGCATGACTAAGCAAGCCAACGACTCCAGCCTGAGGTTGGCAAGGACCACCCAAAGAAGAGCACATGCTGAACTGGAAATTTCTGCAGGAATCATGCCTCCACCCCGAGGTGCCTCAAGGGCTAATACATGGCAGGACTCACTGTGTGGATCCAACAGTATAGATCCAGCACCAATGAGTCAAAGCAGTGAGGCATGATTCTAATGCAGAAGGAAAGCCTTCCCAACAATATCAGTCATGCAGAGACAGAGATGACAGGCACCATGCTGTGGGAACTGTTACATATATATACATTTCCAGCCAGCATTATTGTATGCCTATCCATGTATATACTTTATGCAGTTTTGCATACTCTTTCTACAACTAGGCAAATCTCTTGAGGTCTGCAATGAGACTTCTTCATCTTCCTACCTTGACAGCTTAGCATAAGTCCTATCTCATGTCCTGTAATAAATGCTAGTTGAATAGATGTGTTGATCGTGGCTGCATGGTGCCAGGGGTGCGGTAGAGATAATCATGCCATATCCTCATGCATGTGCATTTTAAAGGGCAAATCCTACAACTCAGAAACCTTCAAGGAAAACAGCTTCCCTTGGAGACACAGTCCTTTGTGCCTTCACAGTGCATCTAGAACTTAGACCGAACAAATTAAGTAATTATTATGCCCAGTATTCAACTGTAATCACAGGGAGGTTTAAAGCTCAGATTGGCATTATTAAATATGAGGGATAATAATTTTTTACCTCCAATGCTCCCGAGCTCCATATAAACATGCTGAAAACCCCCATCAATCAGAGAGATCTGATTCTTCCAGCTGTGACTCAGTTCCAGGAATTACCCCTCCAGGCCTCTTGAAAGAAAATATCACTACATCTTGGACTGGGTGATATATTGATTCTCCAACTTGTGTTATTAGCTTAGCAGATACATACTACACACTCTTCTTGCCCTGGCTGGGATTTACCTCAAAATGTCATCCTTCAGAGGCCTGGCCCATCTTATAGGATAACCCAAAGACCGTGACAGAGACCTTTGCAGTTACCAAGGCAATTGCTGCATGCCACATCCTCCTGAAAAGACTTCAAAACCAACCCAGCTCTCTGGTCCATGGAACGGAGCCTGAAACTCCTGAAAACTGCAGGAAGCTGTGTAGGCTACTGTTCTGATGGCCTCCATGTGGTAGTGGACATGCTATTTGTGCATCCAGAGGAGGGAGCCGGGTCTGCTGTAGCCACGCATCTTACAGAAGTTCCGTGACAAGCCATTCAGTCTCCCAACAACCCTGGGAGGTGAGATCTGCTATCTTCATTAGACACACAGGGAAGGGGCATCACAGAGAAGAAAACTGCCACTGAGCCACTGAGGACCCTCACATCTCATATCTGAGCACCTGGGTTCCTGACTCCAGCTCTGCCAGTGCACACCTTGGGAGGCAGCAGACAATGATATGAGTTGCTGAGTTCCAGCCACTGGCGTGTGAGGCCTGGATTCAGTTCCTAGCTCCAGGGCATTTGGGGAATAAATCAGTGGATGAGAAGTTTGTCTCGGTGTGTGTCTCTCTGTCTCAGCCTCTCAAATCAATCAATAAATGTCCTAATTTCATTAAAGAAACAAATATTATGGTGGCCTCTTCTCACACCTAGAATACATTCCACCTTTTGCAGGGCTCTGCCTGGTCTGGCTTCTGCTCCTTGCTTGCAACATTCTCCTCTATTTTTTCTTGCTCGCTCCCTTCTAGTCCTCATGGCTGTTTCTTAGGCTCACCATGGCCCGCCTCACCACACTTGCTATTCCCTATGTAGGATGCACTTCCCTCAGATCTTTGCACATCCCTATTGTCTCATCCAGGTCCCTGCTCCAATGCCACCTCCTCAGAAAGTCAGTTCTCAATCAGTCCACCTGGAGACTCCTCTACCTGCCACATTCTGGGCAACTCCTTACCCCCTTCGAAGCTTCTTGCCAGCATTCATCAGTACAGGGCACAAATCTTGGGCCAGTTAGCTGCTGCTTTTCAGTGTCCCCACTAGAACACAAGCTCCCTGTAACAGGGACTCTGCACTATCTCATCCCGTACATAGGACCCAGAAAAAGGACCAGGGCTCACCCAGCTGGGTTGCTGCACAGCCCAACACCTGTGTTCTCCAGGGTTCCACTCCACTGCATGTAGCTGGGCGACCAAGGCTGGGAAACTTCCACTCTTGAGAACATGATGCCAGTCATGGATGGGTGTCCTGCTCAACTAGGAACTGCTGGTTTGTCCCTCTCCAAAGACTGAACCACTCCCTTGTTCTGATATTTATGTAACTGTCAATTCTAGAAGTCTATGATTTGATCAAAGATGAGATATTTGAGGCAACCAATGGCATCAAAAGACAATTATGTTTCACAAGTAGAAGAGAAAAACTTCAAAACGACACTTTGTTTAATGTTAGGACAATTAGTTCATTTAATGCCTTCCAGCATTTTTTCAAAGCAGAGAAAAATGGACTCATATTAAAGGGCTCATAAAAAAAAAACCAGTGTTATCTGGCATTTTACCAATCAGAGGGGCTTCCAAAAGAGGAATTTCCAGATCCCTTCAATATAAATCCTGGAGTTGAAGTGGGATGCGAGAGAAAAGAATCATGATCCAAGAGCAAAGCTGGTATTCAATGTAGAAGTTTCTGGAGATGCAGTTATGTCTGGGACACTCAACTTGTCTTATTTCAAAGTCAATCACCTTCGGCCTCAGAACACTACTTTTGGTGGCTGGAAGGCGGTTCACCTTCCATGAACATTTTACATTCCACAGAAGCCTTTTGCAAGAAAGTACATTGCCCAAGCTCAGATTTTACCTGTGTTTTGTTTTTCCCAGTCCACCTGAGCACTGTCTCAATGGTGGAAATTCCAGCCGGCATCTCAAGTCCTGCTGGGGGCTGGCCAGCCTTGCTTTTTTTCTGTGCTTTCTTTCTGCTGATGGTGTCTCTGCATACTTTTACCATGTCAAAGGAACCCTCTGAGAAGTAGCCAGCTCAGAGGGTGAAGGACCAAAGAGAAAGGAGAATTCCCTGTAGGAAAATGGAAGCTAATCCCTTAGTTAACACAAACTTCTAATCAATCCCAACAGGCTTCACCATTGGGAAGCCAAGGCCAGCAAGTATGCAAATGTCAGGTGAGTTTGCTTCCAAAGAAGGAAGAAGAAAGTGGGTTCCTGTTCACTTGTGGATTCTAGTGGTAGCCTCTGAGCGGGAAGGTTTGGCCCAAACATGAAATGCAGCCTGGCAAGGAAGGCGGAGCGTGGCTTCAGCAGCAAGTACCAGCTGCTTCATATTTTCAGCCTTTTCCTTTTTCCTCTTGTTTATGAGCACAAGCTTTGAGTACTTCTAATATTTGCTATCAACAGCAAGGTTTTCACATCCTTTATTATTAGTGATAATTTCATCTGAAATTCAACATGAATTGACATTCCACTTACTTCCTACTGCATGTTGGAAGCTTATCACATAAAACACTAAAAACTGGATTAAAAAAATAAATTGAACCTTCTTCCAAAGGGTTCAAAAAAAAGGACTAGAGGTGATTTGATGGTATTTATAAACATTCCTGAAATTCTTGTGCCAGAGTTAGGAGCTATCTCCTGGGAACACAGAGCTCTGCTTACTGCTCAGATTCCAAGTCAGTCTCTGTTGTGCTCATGAAACATTACTTTTGTAATTAAGAAAAAAAAACCACATTTTTTGGAGAGGTTGAGGAGATAGTGACAGAAAGAAAGAATATACATCTGGTCACTGGTTCATTCCCCAAATGCCTGAAATAGGGGCCAGCAGCTGCAGCTCAATCCAGGATTTCCATGTGGGTGCAAGAACACACGGGGAGCCATCATCACCACTGTGGATCCTGGTTGGAGGGTATCACACCCTGGAATTCCAATGCAGGACTCACACATCCTAACCAGGTAAAAACACTAGGTCAAATACCCACTTGCCTCTTTAGGAATCATTTTGATGAACTAATCAGATTAGGCCTCATTTGTCAAATGAGAATATGACATTTGTCTTGCAAAAACATGTCCTTTCATTGTTGAACCATGTTTCCATAATTTGCAGCTATCAACACTGAAGAACAATCACAGATAACATAACACACATGCTCTAACCAAAACATGTGCCTTATCGTGATTTTGATTTACCTTTTCTTTTTATTTATTTATTTAGTTTTATTGGAAAGGCAGATTTATAGAGAGGAGAGACAGAAAGATCTTCTATCCACTGGTTCACTTCCCAAGCGGCTGCAAACAGCCAGAGCTGAGCTGATCCAAAGCCAGGAGGCAGGAGCTTCTGGGTCTCCCAAGTGGGTGAAGGGTCCCAAAGACTTGGGCTATACTTCACTGCTTTCCCAGGGAGCTTGGCTGGGAAATGGAGCAGCCAGACACAAACTGGCACCCATGTGGGATTCTGGTACTTGAATGGGGAAGATTAATCAATTGAGCCATGGCACTTGATCCCAACTTACCTTTTCATTCCACGCCCACAGTCCAATTCCAAGAAACGTTATCCCCAGAAACTGAAAGACAGGGAAAAAAAAAAGCAGTATAAACATAAAAGAAAACACAGTGTTTCTACTAGCAAATAAAAGTTTTCCATTCTTTTGTCACTTTACCTGGTTGGAAAATATCTTTCTCTAAAATCTGACTAACCATCTTTACCAAGAAAAGGAAGCTCAGAATCCATTTTGTTAAAGTTATTACAGCCCTAAGACAGGCTGAAAATGCACAGGCACTTAAGAAGTTGTTTGGATGATGACCAATAAATAGAAGGCATTGTGAATGAAATTAAAGTCATCAATAATGTCTAATGCTGCTGTTTCAGGTGGGAAAGGATGGAGTGCATATCCCCACGCACCTGATCCCAATACTCATCAGAAAATGGATGACCAGGGGCAAGAATAAAGAGTAGAAAGTGATCCTCTCTTTGAGATCACACCATGGTACACAGGCCAGCCAGAGGGACACAGAGGGATCCCCAGAGTCCTTCCACAAAACCCTAGCTCACTTTTTCAAAAGATTACTTAAAGCCACCCATATATGATGTGCTGTTTTCCAAAACATAAACAACTTAAATGGCAGCACAGAAGGCCTCCATGATGCCTCCTGGTTTAAGTATACGTAATTTGGAGCAGCCAAAGGCACAGGGGATTGAGTGAAGCATCAAGCACAGTGCAGAGGTGCACCTCACCTCTGTCAATGAGCTGAACGAGCTGTGTGTTTGGTGGGGACAGTGCCAGCCAGGGTGTGGCTGTCAACCATGATAACCAGGAGGACTGTTCCCTTCAACTGACTCATCCCAGGGCTCATCTGGTTTAAGTTACATATTTCCCTTCCCCAAGTATTATTTCTGAAATGGGGATGTGCTTTGCAATGTGATGAGATATCATACTTTGTTTCCACCCATGTTGGTACCTAAAATGGTCATGGGTCACAGAGCCAGGGTGTCAGGGATCTGAAGACACACCACCAGTACAAGGTTGTCTACCACATGGAGCCCAGTACCAGCCGTGATGGGCACATCCTATTCTTTGTCTGTATCAGCAATGGCAACTGAGAACTTCTTTCAAACCTTGAGATTGAAAGTGAGTGGAAAGGCTGCTGGGCAGGTTCACTGTGAAGGCAGCCATGCACACAGCTTATCTGCCTCTCGTATCTTGATCAGGCTAATGTCAGGATAGCAGTGTTGGGAGCGAGGGTGGGCATTCTTTGTAGTCTCAGGGAAATGGGAGAACTGTTTATCTAGCCAGGGCTCTGCCACTGGCAGCAGGGAGCTCCTGGCACTCTGTAGGCAATGGTGAATAAATCCAAATGGGACTTGGACAAATAGTAGGAGTGGAGAAAACAGATGGGCTTGGAGACACAAGTCCTCCTGAGAGGTGGAGGTGTTTACAGAAGCAGAGCTCAGCTAAGCTCCCGACAGTTCTTTGACACAGGAGACAGCATGTGATCCATTCTGAAGCCCTGGATAAGAAAGCCAGGCTGCGATTTAGCAAAGACGGAAGACCCCTTTCTTCCCTGCCTTGCTCCTATGGGGCAGCTGTCTGCCAAGCAGTTAGAAAGACTTCTTGTTTTCCTCATCCCAACAGAAAGGCTGTGGTCAGCAGCCCCCACTGGCCTGGCCAGAAAGCCATTTCATTTCATGCCCCATATCCAAAACAACAAATCCTTCTCTCAGTGACTCAAAGCACGAACTTAGTACAACTCAGCGTGTTGCTCAGAGTGGTTGGTACCCACTAAAACAGGAAAACACCAATGACAAAGTGAGACCCCAGACACCTATCCCAACTAGGAAGCCACAGAGCATAGAGCAAAGACTCCAGCTTCACACACATGGGCATCAAGCTCATTCCAGTAATATGGCCGATTTTCAAACACTAATGCAATTCAAAGCAATGTTTAGTTAGTTCTTCATGCAGTCCTTGGACTCAGCGTCACCACAAGCCACGCGTGGGGTTTCATGGCACTCTTACTGCTGATGAGGATGAACAAGTTACTGCACAGGACTGCTTCCCAATCGCTAACATCCATGGTCAGGGTTGAAGGTTGGGGTATATTCCAAGAAATGCATCTTCAGGTAATCTTGTCATTGGAGGAACACCAGGGAATGCACTTAAATAAAATACATGATCACTAGTAGGACTTAAAACATCACTAGGTGGCATGCGGGAAAACAACTGAAAGGACATTGGGAAGTCTTGCCAGTGCAGAGCTATGCTAATCCTGTTGAGAACGCGGGGAGCAGTTGGTATGGAAATGCACAGACCAGGAACTCCCAAATCCTCAGGTTTAGATAACAGATCAAAGAGAGGTGATTATTTGCACAGGCAGAGTATGGGAACGCCCATATTCTCAAGCCCAGAAAACAGACCAAAGAAAGGCATCTGCTGATGAACAAACTGTTTACTAGTTAACTAGTTACTGTTAACATGTAACTCAATTACTGCTTCAACCCTCATTCCACTTGACCCTAAGTCTTTTGTTGTTAATAAACTTTGGCTATTGACCCATCAGTCAGTACTCTACACATATGATTATCAGCTCCATGCATCAAGTCCATTGTTGCTGGACAGTGAACAGCAGCACAAGTGTTTTTTTTTTTTAAAGAAATTATATATTTAAAGATCTCTTTATTTATTTGAAAGTCAGAGGCAGAGATAGAGAGAAAGCAAAATCTCCCATCTGCTAGTTTATTTTCCAAATGACCGCAAAGGCTGGAGTTGGGCCAGGCTAAAGCCAGGAGTCTCTTTTGGGTCTTCCATGTGGGTGCAGGAGCCCATGGACTTGGGCTACCCTCTGCTGCTTTCCAAGACCCTAAGCAGAGAGCTGGATGAAAAGTGAAGCAATAGGGACATGAAATGGTACCCATACGGGATGTCAGTGCCACCAGTGGCAGCTTTACCCACTATTACACAGTACCAACCTCTGGACAACACAACCTTAGGTGGCCACTGTCATGTAGGCAGTAACTGTTGAGCTTGTGAGGTGCCACATGCCTATATTTGTACTATGCTAAGTGCTTTGTACGCAGCGCCTCTCCTGTGTTTCACAACACTTACTTTGAAATAAACACTGTTATTACCTTTTTTTTCAGGAAAGAGGGAAGTGTAGAAAGTCAGTCCAAAAAATTTCATAGACACATGCCTCTTCCAAGTAGGAGGGCAGAGATCTGAATGAGTTCAAGTTGTTACCAGCCCCGATACACTCCCTTCTCCCTTCTTTGCTCATGGGACATACAGCTGAGGTGTTTCGGCTAGAATCCTGTGAGAAGTGTCCAGGGGATCAAACCCCCCTCTCCCAGTGAGCAAAGGAGGTGCCAGTGAGATCAAAGGAGACAAAACCTTCAAATCCTCATGCTGGTGCAGTTCAGCACAGCAGGAGAGAGAAACACAGTGGTGGGTCTGCTTGCTTCTCCTCCAGGACAGTTCTTCTCTCCCCTAGGGGCACCCAAAAGACCCCTGTTTTCCTTCAGGAATCATTCAAATATCTTGGAACCCAACGGTCTGCCATAAAAAGGAGAGTGAGAGACAAAGCACAGTGCTAAGGCAGACTGCTTCCTTTACAGCATTGGTCCAGTATTTCCTGGTCTGATGGGGACTTCCCAAGTGGGAGCCTGGAGAATTTGGAAGCAGAACTCAATTTGAAATTCAGGAAAACAATACCTATGTGAGCAAGTGTAGCAGGGCTGGGGCCTCAACTTGGCACATACCTTCAGTGCTACATCACTAAGCCAGCGTCCTCCCCATGACTCCCAGCCCATGTGTTTTGTTTTAAAATCAGGTTGTTCCAGCTCCAGCAAATCATTAAATGGAGACTAGCCAAACATCCAGAGACAGGCACGCAGCACTCGAGGTCCATTCGATTTCTTCTTCCCTACCTCCCAAAGAAGAGATGATCAGAAACCCCCAAGCCGACCTCATTCTGAGGCCAGAGAGGCTGATGCACAGGGCCTGGCTGAGAACTCTGCCAGACAAATCCCAGTTCTTCTGAAACAGAAACAACAGCAGGTCCAAGGCAAGATCTCATATGGCAGGATATGCAAATGTGCATGACAGATGTTTTGGCTACCTACTTTTTAGAAAAGACTTGTTTATTTGTATTGATCTTAGAGGGGAGGAGGAGGAGAAGTAGGGGGATAGGAGGCCAAGGGAGGGAGATGTAGCTACTAAGATCTGTCATCTGTTGGCCCACTTTCCAAATGCTTGCAATAGCTGGGGTCAAGCCAGGCTGAGAAGCCAGTAACCTGACCCTGGTCTCCTATGAGGGTGGCAGGGACCCAAATATTTCAGCCTGCACCTGCTTCTCTCAGAGCACACACTGGCAGGAAGCTGAACTCAGCAGTGATACCAGGATTCCAAGCCAGACTCGGCCGTATTGGATATGGTGTCTCAAGTAGCACCTTAACCAGCATCATATCCAATGCTCAGGCTACCCACTCATATTTTGATATTTCAAAATGCATTAACAATAATCTTGCCAACATAAGTTGAATGCTAAGGTTTTGCAGGTGTTTGTTAAAACAGACCTGCCTTATACAATAGGTCCTAGCTACTGAGAACTGGACAAGTGACTAGCTCAACCTGAGATGTACTGGTGAGGATGAAATGGACACGGGGATTTGAGACTTAACTATAATACAAACACTGTAAACAGAAACAATGCAAATACACCATTACTAGTTTTCTTTATTGGTGAATGCATGCTGGAATGATAACATTTTGGGCAGAAAGGGTCAACTAAAACACATAATTTATTTCACCCATTTTGTTTTCCTTGGTAAATACAACTACTAGGCAATGTAAATTACATTTGTGATTTGCTTTGCTATAGTTCTATAGAATAATGATGGTCTAAAGTATTCTACAATGATCCCATGAAGTGGGTTTTGGTATCACTTTCATTTTAAAAATAAGACACAGAAGCTTGGTGATTTGAAGTTATGCTCCCCAGTGACATAGGTGCCTGCACTGGATTGCTCAGCAAATCTAACTCTCGGCATCCACTCAAAACCGTCAGAGTA